TAATATTCAAAATAGATCTTTTTCATTCGCATTTTTAAATACTATTTAACTTAGAATTCAAAGCAATTTTTTTGGATTATTTTATTATTAAAAATATATTTTGGCTTGTGAAAACTAATATTTTCATCTTCTGATTTGTAAAATTGACATATTAATACAATCAACTGGAACTATTTTATTAATTTTTATTTAAGCAAATTAATACTTAATAAATAATATAGAGCATAGTTATTTTATTTCGATGATAATTTTAGGACAGATTGAGTTATTGTAATTGCTTTAAATTTTTTTTTTTTAAACTAAATAAAGTTATTGTATTTAAGTAAGATACAAATTCTAGGTGTAATATCTCTTCTATTTGCAGACCTAAATACCACCAAAAATTTGTTTTAGAGGAAACTCTGGATTAGTTTACTATTATACATTATTTACTTGTTAAAGTCACTATCTCAAAAGGTTTAGTTATACTTAGTTAAAAGCCTGTTTCATTTCTGTTTATCAACATTTATGTATGATAACTATAATAAATAATAAATATTTCTTATTTTAGATATTACAAAAATTTAAAAAATTTTATAACCTACTAACTATTAATCTATACTTATATTATAAACATTAAAGATTTGGATGTTTGTAACAAATTAACTCAAAAACTACTGGACCAATTTCAAAAATTATTTTACTATTATAATGCTACATTATTCCTAAATAACCTAGGCTATATGCATTACTAGAAAATAATGGGAAAAAATTTCAATAATTAGGTTTTTAGGAATTTTTAGTAATTGTTTATTTATTTATTTTTTGTTTATTCATAGGTTACCTTGGTGATATGGATGATAATTTGGTTGTCATGGAAAAGAAAAATATGATGATTATTATTATAATTACTATTATTTACACTATTATCTAGCAATAGCAAAGCATATACACTGTTTATTATTATTTTCTCTGATTTGAAAAAAAAAACTTCCAAACAATATGCCTAGAGAAAAAAGGTCGCAGCTATCTAAACATAAGACCCAATCGAAATCAGCAAAAATATGTTGAATTAGAGAATCTTCTTCTGAAAATTCAGATCGTCTCGCAAGTCAGATAGAGTACGCGTCGCAATCGCGAGCCAGATAATCTAGAGCACCGAACGTTCGCAGCGCTTTGCTAGAAATAGAGACAGCAGCAAGCACACACGAGCACGTGCGAGGGAATGTAGCGCCGAATGTTCACTTCATCACAGCTACACGAACGACAGTCAAACGCCGAACGCCGAACGCTCGCAGCGCCTTTCTGTAAATAGAGATGAAACTCGCGAACGAGAATCTAGCGCTGAAGCTTCGCAGCGGCTTATGGCACAGAGAAAAGACAACAGTCGTTAACAACTAGGACGCGCAATAGAAGTGTAGCTCACAGTAATAGATCGGCATTCAGTTGCATTATGGATAACCATAGTAACACGGACGAAATGAAAAAGTTTTGAACAAAAAAAATAAATAATAAACAGTAATGAAAATTCCATAACAACTATGACAACTAAAAATAAAAAGTCTGTCTGACTGTCTGGCGGTCTTATATTGGCTTGAAATAGGACGGGCTACCTTGGTAACATGGATGAAGAAAAAAACACAAAACTATGCGCTGTACTGGGCGGGTAAGTGAAAAGTGAAAACACGTAACACGTCGTCTTTGAATCTTTGTATTTTTTGGTACATTAACAACACTAGAGTATACTATTATGTCCTCAAAATTGTATAGTTATTATAGCGGATACAATATAATTTAATAACGTGTAATAATTTGCTGTGCGAGTATTTATGGTAACACGGATAAAAAAAAGTATGACACACTAGGATACTTTTAGTCCACCGGACTACCCAACCATTTTTAATTTCGTTCGATATACTGATACGGGCCAAGCAATACGGGAATACATGGTAGAAATATTTAAAAATTGGCACGGGAAACACCGGACAGCTAATGAATAATACAATATAACAATGATGATAATAATAGTTAAACTGGATATTGCAAATCGTTATTTATTTTTTTTGATTTGCTTATACAAATTGTATATTTTTAAATAATTTGATCGCTTAATCTTAAACTACCCACAGCCTGTCAATTTAATAAGTCCGTAAAATACAATAAACTTTGGGTTAAATAGTCAAATGAAGGATTTCGTGACCATATAAAACCATCGAATTGTACTTTAAGGAATTTGGTTGAATACTTATTAAAAATGTTTTCTATTACACAACCAATATACCATGCTATGTTATGCACTACAGCATACCTAATATATTTCTTTTTCTATATTTATTTTGTCACTATTATTCACTTTATCATCAGAAATTTCAGTATCTGGACTATCGTGTAATAAAAAATTAGAATCGTTAGATCCATGTGAAGAAGTTTCATCTTCAAATAATAGTATTTTGGTATGTGTTACATCTTTAAGAACACCTTTAATGGGAGGTTTAACAATTTAATAAAATATTATAATATTTATATTTATAATAATTGGATTACTACATTATATTAGTCTCCCGTAGACTATATAAAAAAAAAAAAATTAAAAAATATGTGCTTCGTGAATATAAATATCGTGCCTTAAGAGAAACCAATAATTATAGTCAAGTTATATTAATAAAAAGTTAATTACGATTAATTATAATTTAAATAGGAATAATTACCTCTAATGGGGCAAAATAATTTCAACTTCACAAATTAACTACTTAAAATCTGCATAAAAAACGAATACATGAACACTATGATAATGGACAAGACAAAATGCAAATTAGGTATTATAGAACTCTCCCCGCTCCGATAGAACCTATCTAAGACATATAATATTCAAAATTTATATTACGACTATCCTGACAGAGGGACAACAATAAACAAAGCTGTATAAAAATGTGTGTTTGGATGAAAGACGTATCAAATTAGTTCGTCAGGGTTTGAACTTGGAATTATTTTGTTTTTGTTGTCTTACTTTCAAAAAACAAAAAATCAGGCGAAAAATAAATTTAATCAGGATTGAAACACAAAAAAGAAAAAAAATTGTTTTTACAAAAATTAATGCTTATAATCCTATGAGGTTAATTTCATTATTTAAAATTTTTATGATAATTAGGAAAACGTAGGAAATGCAGGAAAGTTTACGACATTAACGGTATCGCGAGTAGTATCGATATTTTTGTTTTTTTGTTGAAAATAGGTTAAAAATTATTGTAAAGAAGTCAAATTTGTATACAATACTAATATTAGCGTTTACTAAATTGAAAGTCGATATAGGTACCTATATTGTATATTGTGAACGGCTGTACGTCCGTATGGGTATCCACAATTTATTTGTCATTAATCCTATAATTTAAGTATACATTACAAGTTACGGCCTACGGGTTTATGGTTATAAGTTTTATTTAAATAAATTATAACCTATGTGCGAGTCTATAAACCTTTTTTAGTTTTAGAAAAAATTGTCCAATATATATATATATTGATATATTGATATATCGATAAAACAGCAATCAATATATCGTGGTATCGATATCGAGTATGCGGTGTATCGATGGTCAACGATTTTTTACCATCCCTAAATTAGGTTATAGTTCTTACATCGAATGATAAGAAAGATAGAGGGTTCCTCTCTTTAAAAACTAACGCACAGTGTGATACAGTGTCTAATAAAATACGAGTATTTATTTGTATATTTATTCAATATCATTTTTTGAAACGACTAGTTAAAAACTGTAGTAAATCAGTTTTTATATTCTCTGAAACATTTTAAAGAAACAATGAATAAAAAGAAAACTTTGCTAACATGTAACAATCAGAATTATTTGCTTTCTGTAGTTGGTATCACTACGCGGGGGCGTGATGTCAGTATTTGAGAAGATTAAGGGTGATTTGAGGGTGGGAGATGACAGCGTTCAACAAATATCGATCTATAATCATGTTTACTAGTATTGTACTCTGTTTTATTAGTACTGATATCCTGGTTATTAAGTGTGAGATTTAATATAATTTTGTAGCAGTGTGAAGTTTCATGTTCGTTTAGTTGGTAAGTACATACATCACGTTTTATTTTAAAGTTTACAGTTAACTTATACTACTTTATGGTTTGTTTTGTTTTTTTCACTTGTACCCATAATTTAGTCCAACTAATAAAATTCCATACCTACAACATGAATCTAACTTATATGTACCTACCTAAATGATTTGCTAATAATGTTTAAAATATGTGGCATATATATTGTTGACAAAGCAACATTATTAATAATTCTTCGTTAACAATGGTTAATTGTTGTGTACAGATGAACATCAAATTTACCCTCCCCCTCTTCATTCCCAACTTCTCACTTACAACAGTGGCCCACCCACGAACAAAGTATGTCTGTTTTTTTTTTCATTATAGCATACCTATGTAAAATCAATGCACTTAAAATACTATATAGTTACATAAATACAAATCTGGGGGGGATCACCTCTATCATTCCCTCTAAACTACGCTACATTACTAAAATGGTTAAGTTGGATTTCGTAAAATCAATATTTACAAATATTTTACAATTTTTAGTTAAAAACAAAATATAAAAATATAACATAGAAAAATTATGGTACAAGAATGGGGTTTAGACAAAAATGTGTGAGACATTTTTATTGTAATGCAAAAATATGGAGATGGATTCCATAGTAATAAAAACATAAAAACATAAAAAATAAGCAAATTTGTTTTATAATTATTACTATATTATTTAATTTGTATTATTTGTTTTTTTTTTTTTTGAATAATTACAAAGTAGGTAGGTATATTAAATTAGTTGATTATAATAAGAATAATCACTTGGACATTTTTTATTTGTTTATGTTTCATAATGATACCAAAGATAATTACCTACTTTACACAATGTACCTAATATGATAAAAACAATTTTTTTAATTAATAGATACGAATTTGAAAAAGTACTGATATTTAACTGCAAAACATTTATAAAGGTGTTGAAATGAAATCTTCTAAGTGTAAAAGGACAATAAAATATCACTATGAAAGTAAGAGGATAACAATATATCTCTTATTATGTACTCTTACAATCCTGTCTTTTTGATTCAAGGGTTATCAAAACGTGTGAAAACTAATTGTTTAGAAAGGAAAAAAAAAAAAAATAGTCAATCAAAAAACCAAAATTCTGATTCAAATTTTAATCATCGAAGATTACTTAAAGATACTGAGTTGGATCACTTTGAACCAGAAATTATAAAAATATTCGAAGAATATTATTTACTTAATGGATTCCATACACCAATTCAAGATGGTATGTCTTACAAAAATAATATTTATTCAATTAAAAATGTTTATAATTTAATATATCTTAGATGATGAAATTGAAATAATTGAAGAAGATGCACAAGTTTCTACTACAACAGAGGATACAAGTTTTGTTATGAGTAAAACGGATGCATTGCGAAGTACAGACCCAATGGTTGGAATCGATAATCATGCTCCTGATCAAATCAATTTTATAAGTACATCAGGATAACGGTACTTAATTAAGCTCATAACTTACAAAAACTACTTTGTAATTTATTTAGAATAATTCTAATTACAACCTAAGCATTTTATTCAAATGTCTATAATTTAATATATTTTAGATGATAAATTTGAAGTACATAAAGATAATGCTCAAACTTCAAATACATTAAATAAATAAGATTTTTATAAAAATTAAGACTAAATTAACAAAATGTACAAACAAAATAGTTGAAACCAATGGTTTTACTAAAAAATGTCTTTTAATAATTGACTAATTAATAAATAATTAATTAATAATTTGTGTTAAATGTTTATAATAGTAATAGTAGTAGTAGTAGTAGTAGTAGTAGTATTGAAGTATTTTTATTGTTTATTTGTTATATTTAGACAGGGTCTTCATATTAATTATCAAAAAAATCATACAGATAAATGTATAAAATATATATTAAATAAATATTGGCAAAGTATTAATATAATAGATAATTATATCCTTAAAAAAAAGCAATATTCTAATAAGTTGAGATTATAGGAATATAATAATTAGTATATAAGATATTTTTTAGGTGTTCTAAAAATAAGTACCTATTACCTAATCTAACGTACCTACATTTTTCAGTAAATAAAATATTTGTATGAAATAGTAATCAGTTTGAAATGAAAATAAATCTTCATCAAAACAATTTATTATACGTTATATTTTTTTACACATTATGAAAATATTAAATATGTATACTTTGTGTATAACCAATATCTATCTAGCTCAGTAACTATTAATATTAACATGATACGAGTTAGAGAGGTAACTTTAGTAATTTCAAATTTAGTAAAGATTGGTCAGATAATTTTGTCGAACATAAATCTGTTTATATAAATTAGTTTATCAATAAATAATAATTGTATTCAAATTAAATTATCTTATTTTATGTTTTATAGATTTATTTTATATACATGTAAATAGGGTGCAATAAATTCTTTATATCTTAATTACTTCAAATAACTATTCTGGAAAAGACTTTTTTTTAAATTTATATAATTTGCAAATGATTAATTTGGAATAAACAAACATTAAATTTACATTGTTTGAAATAAATTAACCATTAGTTAAAAATTAATTTTAAATTAAATTTTTTTTGAAATAATAAACCCAAAATTAAAAAACAAGTCAATAATTTAGATTAACAACTAACTTTCTTTTGGGAAAAATTTGACCATAACTAGTATTTTATACAGATAATTTATCAACAAAATTTTATATTTTGTTTCCAGATTTATTTAAATCCATGGTTTATTGTTGACAAATAATATACAGTCCAAATTTATAGTTACCAAATAAAGGGGATTAAAAATTTAAAGATTTCAAATTATGTCAATTCTAGTTTCATCAATTACTAGTTTGTTGTTTAAAAGTTTTTGTCCATTCAGGTTTAAGGTTCCGAATAATGTTGCTTCAAATGAATAAAGATTCAAAAAATTTTAAATTCAAAGAATTTTATATTTAAAACAATATTGTTAAAAGTTTTTACCTGTGTAAATGTTTTAATTTAATTTATTCTAGGATTTTTATTTAGGGATTCAAATTATTTTAATATACATACGCATTTGTACTAAGAATTTTCAGTCTGCGTACATCTGTTTTTTTTTTTTTCATTAATTAATGATTTACAATAAAACCTCTCACACCAATAATCAAAAATTGATTGAAATATTTCTTAAGTATTATTAAGTTGTATAATTTATTGATAATAGATAGTATGTAAATGTATTGTTAATAATTATTAATAATTTTTAAAAAACCATATATATATATATGACCCTTATATACATGTTTGCTATAATTAATATAGTATAGTTTTAAGTTTAAAATAGATTATATTAAAATGAAATATATCATGAAACTTCCATGAAATATTTCAAAAAGTTTCATACAGTATTGTATAACACTAGTTAAAATATTACATATCTATTATTTATGAATTTATGATATATCATTTATAAACATTAATAAAACTTGCATTGCATCAACTATAAAACAATCATAATTATCTTATTATACTGTTTACACCATCTCCCATCTAGGGAGGTTCATATTGGATATCTTTTTATATAATAATAATAAATTAGGTGATTTGTTCATGTGTACTATCAAAATCTTATAGTTAAAATAGGATATTACTAGGTACCCAGAAATGAATAATTAGTAGGTATTTAAATAATAATCTACCAGCTGTATTATTAAATAGTTTAGTAATTTATTGTAGTGTTATCGCTGTTAGTAAATTTAATTTTTTTTTAATGTTTACAATTACTAAGTATAAAAACAATTGTTTATCAATAATGTGTAATAACTAATGTGTGTACAAACATGAATACGATATTGCCATACCGAGTACATTTGACATGTATTTCTTTTTCCAGTAATGATTATTATGGTCAAAAAACTTTACTGTTTAATATCTGTGCGAGCCTGGTGCGTAAAGTTATATTATGTGCACACCGACCACTTAATAAATAATTGTTGTATCACTATTTGTGATGGTCCCTGACTTGTTCGGCCACACCTTTGTGATTGTATAGTGTATTGTGTAAATAGAACTCAACTCCCCTCCCTCTGGAAAATTTATCCTGAATATGTGCTTGGAACCAAGAATAGAACACACTAGAGTGCCTAATCGGGATCGCCGAGGAAAACTAGGGCCTCTGTGTGTGTATCGTGCGTATACATAAAACTATAGAGTGAATGAGGTAACGCTAAATAAATGGGAACCCGAAAAATAGGTGTCACAGTCTGTATTTTACACGGAAATTAACTATATTCAGTGTTGTTGTGAGTACGAAAAGAAAAAATTGACAAAAATATAACATATGACGAACAAATTAATAGAAAAATTCACAGCAACACAATAGCTAATAATATAGGAATACCGAATACACAAATAAATTATAAAGAAATCGTGGCGATTTGTGCCCACGTATAAAATAGTAAATAATTTGGCAATTAGCTCAACTTTTAAACATTTAATATCATAAAATACCTACTAAAAATAATAAAAATAATAAATAAACAAAACTCACAGTAAGTCGGTGCACTGCTGGCCAGCTGCTAGGTACCTAACTAAAAAAAATGAATATGAATACAACACACGCAATAATAGATAAAGAATAAAATATAAAAGATCTTCGGTAATTTAACGGTGGCTATAATTATAGCCGACTAATTTATCAATAATTATAAAAAACGTAACGAGGCACAATTTACAAACGGTGAAGTTTAAATATTTTATAATTCACAATCGCGATAATATTATTCTTAAACATAAGATTAGGACTACGGCGGGTAAGTGTGCGTGGCCGCCCGGTGACCATGAAATTAAGCTATTTTTGAGTTGACGTCGTTATCGGCGGCGATAATATCTCTGGTATCTGGTAATAATCAAAATAATATTATAAATTATTATAGAATAATTTAGTCGGTTTACATGTTATTATTAATTTATAGGTATAAAGTCGTATTTATAAAGGTACGTTAATAAGGTGTGTATTGAAATCCATAAATAATATGAAACATGATTAACAAATTGATTACGTAGGTAATAGAGGACGGATTTTTAGGTTATTACATATATTTATATTTCATTGAGTTTATTCAGAGCAATAAGGATGGAAAATACAGACGGTTTATTCATTGCAGAGTTCGTAGAAAAAATTTATTTTCCATATTTTGGAGATTTGAGAATATTTAGCCCGTTCATACAAAAATACATTCAGTTCATAAAATGTCTCGAGTGATTTTTTCATTTCGGGAAAAAATGATTATTTATTTGGTAACAAGACAAATTGATTTATATCAGCTCAGAGACATTCTAATCTAGAAACGATATAGTCCCAAATCATGTAGATCCACATTTTTAGATCTCGATCTGTTGGAAACATATGGATCCATTCATTAGATAATGGTGGCATTTTAAAAATGTCATATTTATTCATATTAAAAGTAAATATAATTAATTTAAAATTTAAACATATTTCAAAAAATACCTTATTTCAATTAGTGTCAACGATATTATAATTAAATAATGTATTTTAACGTTTAGTTTAATGTTTTCTTTTATATTGAATACACTATTAATGTTTTTTTTTCTTTTAACACGATGTCATCTTAGGAACTCAATTGGAATCACTAGCTTTGATTTTTAAACTGGTATCATACTTGTAAATTCATTTAAATCTCTATTTTTAAATTTTATATGACAAATATAATAAGTTTTATTGTTATTTTATTTATTATTTAATATAGGAACTTTATTATTTTCATATTTATTTAACAATAAAGTAATAAATTACTAATCAAATGGACTGTATCGTAATTAAAGGTCTCTATAATGTACATGTAATTTCATGAAAAATCTTAATACTTAATACAAATTGTATAGTCTTCATTTCAAACTACAATGTATATCTCACAGACACCAAAATGTGTACTTTTTCGTATCTCACACTTTACATCAAACAAAAAACCATACTATATGATAGATATCATCACCCCCTTCCAGTTGATTGGATTCTAAATTAATATAGTACCTATCGATGAGAAGTTATTTTATATTCTCTCAGAGGGGCTAAATTAATGTATTTTTTTTTTTTATAAATTAACTCAAAACAATTAAATACATAAGCTAATACAATCACGAAAAATTAAATTATTGGGGTTACCTTGAATATTTAGCAATAAAAGTTATTTGTATTGGAATAATATAAAACAAAATATTTGTATAATAATAATGTTTTTATTTTGCAATGGAATATAATACATCATATATATAACATAAAGTTAAGCAGCAAAAGCCTATCATAAAGCAGAGCTTGTAAATGGTTATGTTGAAGAGTTTTGTATCTAGCTCTGAAAAAGTAAAATAACAATAGTTACAATTAAGTTTTAATATATTTGTATATATTTTAAAAAAATAGAAATTGATTACACTTGCTCGGTATTTCATAGTTCACACTGAAACACAGAGAAAAAAAATTAATAATAATTATGGCCCAGATTTTTATGTGAAATGCATATTCTTCTACATTTGACTTATAATAATCCTGATTAAATATGTAAATTCTACTCTTAATTTTTTTTTGGATATTTAAATCAAAATTTACATATTTCTGAATAGTTACATAAATTGGGCATACTTTATAAATACTAAATAAAATATTTTAAATTTTACTCAAAGTTTGATATACATGCAGACATTTCAATTTTTAACAAATATAATTCAACCAAATAAAATAAATAAAACAAAATATTTTAGTATAGGTATAATATCAAATAATAATAAGTGTTATTTTATAGATATAATATACATAATCTGATTTCTGGGACACAAGTTTTAACTAAAATAATATTATAGTAAGCATTTTTATATCAGTTACTGTTATTCGTTTGAGTAGTCTGTCCATTCTTTCCTTTTTTTAATATCAAAGGAAAATAAAGCTCATTATTATGTAACCGAATATTCAGGTATCTTAGAAACAGATGAATATATATTATTTTGTATTTGTTGTGGTATCAATAAGTGATGTAAAAGAAAAATCACAAGTTAGTCAACATTTAAAAACTTCAAAACACATCAAAAACTAAGTTGAAATCAAATAATAAAGAACAGATTAGTCAAAAATTAATAAAAAAAAATTGATTACTTAAGCTAGAACAAATAACCACAATTTAAATGAGTATAACAATGTTTATGGTAGCAAACAATATTCCTTTATCCTAAACTGATTCATATTTTATGGTCCATGGCTTCATAGATTATCAGAAGCTATTAGAAATAAATTCTCAAATGTTGATTTGTTGATATCTAATACAAAAAAAGTTTCATTAAAAGCACCACTCGGGTGGGTGGTTTTAAAAAAATGTCCAAACTTAAGTTTACCACCACAACCTATTATAACACAATAAGGAATGTGGTTTAATGCCACCTTCTATTATAATAGGAACTTTGACAAAGTTAAGTTGTTAAAACATTTAACCAAAATGATACAAATTCTATTCAAAATGCACAATAATTTAATGATAACTCGATCAATGGACTCTCTGTAATTTTGTACAATTTTCAATGCATAACAGACACCATCAAGTGTAAAATGAAAAATCAAGTGTTTACTCAGAAAAAGTGTAGAATTGTTTCAAAATGATGAATAAATTGAATGAATGGTTTAAACTACATGGCAGTACATAACTTACACCTAGATCTTTTATTTACCATCGATTTTGAACATAAAACTCTGTGATTGTTTTTCCATTTGACTCATCTCAAAACAGCCCGGGTATTTTTTCCGCTCTGCCACATAACATTATGGGTGGTTTTTTGACAGGATGGTCATATCCGTTTACTCCAAAAGTCCTGGTTTACTTATCAGGTACACATAAAAATCTATAGTTGTGATAATAAATGACAACAAATCTGAAAAATAATAATAAAATAACAGTCAAATTTTAAGAGGACGCGATACCTGCACGTGCTGTCTTACTCCAACTAACGGGCAACATTGCAAAATATCTCTAATGCAGTCTGCGTAGAACTCGCTTAATTTTGGCTTTAGAGTTAAAGCATGTATTATAAAATTAAAAGAGAACAGGTTTTTGGAGGGTAAGATGATGCGCTTTTCCTATTATTCTGGTTATATTATACATTGTTTAAGAATAAAACATAATTTATCAGTGCTATACTTACAGTTTATCTATTATCATAATCTGGTACTGTGCAGTTATTAGCCTTTCCGCATACTCGTTTGAATTTACCAACTCACCTCGTATACCTATAAAAATAATTTGATTAATATAATTATTTTAAATAATTTTAAAAATTGTGTACCTTATTCAAACATTGGATCATATTCAGAAAGAAATTCCTAGTTCATATTTCAACATACGATGGAAGCGTAAACCAGGTTCCACGAGGTCTCCTATTTCGCTGTCGAAAAAAAAATGGCCAGACTAACCTCCTCAAAAATCTTTAGTTTATTGGTAGCTTTAGTTGGCCTGATGATTCAATTCTGGTGTCCCAATAGGGTCCACGTAAAAACTTGGAAGGTACAAATCTGGAATATAAAATTTTGAAATCCATAAAAATCTGAACGGTATAAATTTGGAATTTTATATTTAAGACAACTCCCAAGTGTACTACCTATAAAGAACCTTGTGTTAAATGTTCAAGTATTTCTCAATCATACGTTTTTATATTTCAGATCTGTACGGTTTAAAGCTGAACCGTACAGATTTTTTACGGATTTCAAAATATTATATTCCAAATTTGTACCGTCCAAGTTTTTACATACCAGGTTTCGAAGCGATCACGTCCCAATATTACTTTCTTATAATCATAGTTTTTGTAGAAGAGTTTGTGCGACTTGATTGTTTTGAACTGATGTTGGAAATACCGTATCAAGACATTTTCCCTGTACATATCCAAGACTCAGCCAAACAGATACCTCCTGTGGTTATCGAACGTCATACAGTTTTTTTAGTCCCTGGTGTACATAGATAATAGTTGATAATTTCAGTTTTTATATTTATAATTTGTTCAGAGGTATACAGTTTTTTTTTTTGAATAATAATTTTTAGTTTTAAGTAATAATTACTTTTTAAGTTAAAATGATCCATATTAACATGCACATATACAAAACGAACTACGCAAATTGGAATACATGTAATCCAAACAGTAACAATACGTTAATATGAAAATAAGTACACAGTTCACCACTATTGTCGGTTAACACGCATGTCATACTGTTTTAATCAAACTAATGGGAAACATGGAAAAATTAAATTAGATAGGTAGGTACTTAAAAGTAATTTGTAGCATTTATTCAAATTTAAATTTAAAATAAATCGTTTGTGACAAAATAAGTGTATGCGGTAAAGCCCCTAAAACAAAATGTTATCAATATTTTGTTCTCTGTGTCAACGTTAACGTCGTATACCATGTGTATCAGCGGCGGCAAGATGATGACAGGCAAGGTCTATAGATAATAATATTATTATGCTTATTGTGCCACAAAACTAAAAACGCACAAAAAAAAAAATAAAATAAATATTGTCATGTTCCACAATGTAAAAAAATGTAAGATATTAACTTATTTCTACTAAATCTACAAATTATATTTTCTGCGTAAACATATTCAAAATAATTATTTGATTTTCATTCAACAGTCAATACCAAGAGGATGTGACTTTCCACTTTCCTAAAAAATGTTATTCTAAAAAAGAAATAGGAGCATGCTTTAAAAATGAATATTACTAATTCTCTTACAAATAATATTAATGTGTGCAGCAAATATTTTAATAAAGATGATTTTTTATAATTTACAACTAATGCTCAAATTCTATAGAATACCTACAAACTGTTAAATTAATATAAAGTAACACAGGTAGGTACTTTAATATGGTTGTTATGTAATGGTTGTGATTTTAACAATTCCATAAACATAGGTTTTCCACTGAGAACACTAGTTTTAACCCTTTGGGGCACACAGTGTTTTTGAAAACTTCCCTCACAAATTGAAACATTACTATTTGATTTAATACTTCAACAATTGTTGTATGAAATATTCAAATGAAGTTTCAAAAATCACAATTTCGGAGTCCCTAATAACGAAGATGTAAAAATAAATGGAAAAATTAATTTTTTAGAAAAAGTTACATTGTGCTTCACATATTAAGGAAAGTGATATAAACGTTTACTTGGGAATCCAGTGAAGGTGAAAATAAATACAGAGTACAGGTATTACCTCGGTGTATGTAGTAAGTACCTATAATATTAATAAAAATTACTATTTTTCAATAAATGATAAATTGCTATTTAGATATATATATTAAAGTTTCTAATCTTTTGGATGAGGCGATTCCATTAGTAACTATATAAGATGGATAAAAACTGCCAAATTGAATCCAAATACAATTAATATTTTATTTCGAACACGGAATTGTAATGATCGCAAAAGTGAAATACTCACAAATATGTTTCTAATGTGTATAACGATGAGAATGCGTCAATACAGCTATTCAAAAAATATTGAAACCAAATAATTAAATAAAACAAAAAAAACATTCTACTTTGGTCACTTCTTAAAACTAAATTCAATTTCTAATTAATTTATAATATAATACTAGTTAGATTATTTTTAATTGTTAATTATTAATTAACAAACAAAAATACTCAAACAAAGACTCTGAACCTAACTATATATTTATTAAATACCAATTCGTATACACGGACATAAATATTATTGTATTACTAAATACTAATTACTAATTTCTATATTTTCTTCTGTAAATAGGTACTTAAGAACAATATAATTATTATTTATTAATGTAGTCCTACTATTTATCGCCTAGAGAGCGCTGTATGCTGTGTGAAGCTAATATATTTTTGAGCTTTACATTTTCACGGTTTGTTCCACAACTTTACATATTGTTCCTTTACGATTATTCTAACCTAACCGATATTTCACGTATGATAGAGAAAGACTTTGAAATTAGGAGTAGTTTGTCTACATTTTGTAGGTTGGCATGACTTTTATTTTTTTTTGCTATTATCAGGTTCACTGTTACCTTAATTCATGCTACTGACCAATATTATCGTTATTTATGTTAGTTTACCTGTATACTATAGTATTATTTACATTTCACTTCACTTTTCGTTCTTTTGACATTTTGTTGCCTTTGTCTAGAGAAGCTCTAAGCGTTCGGGTTCTTTTGAAATTTTGAATACTATTAGTCAACAACGGTCCATCAGTCATTTGCAACAAAATAATAAAAATCCAAGTAAGTATACAACTATGTTATGAAATAAGCCTGTAATTCGGGGCATTTTAAAAGTTTCACTAGGCCCACTTAGTGAAAGTATGTCACAAGGTTACCTATTGAACGTCAAATACGCAGCAGACTTCGACCGCAAAGCATTTTGAAAATTTATAGATTTTGAAACGAATATAATAATAGGTATCCCTTCACATTGCACTTCGGTAAGTTAATGGCATTTCCCACAATTCAAACCATGATTGCTATTCTTAAAATTTACATGCAAAACTCTGATGCTTCATTATACGCCGAATTAGTAGTTTGCATAAGTGTAATTATTATTTATTTTTTTTTTGTAGTTGAATTATGGCTCGTACAATGCAAAACGAAATCTTGTGTACTGTCAACAAAAGGCAATTTGGCCACCCGGAAACTGCTGCTCTCTGTGAAATCTGTAGTCAAGAAGAACCTACTTTGCTTATCCGCAAATTGATAATCCAAGATAAGATCCGTATTATCAAAAAACGTTGCAATGATTTACAAATCAAGATTGCGGCTATGGAAATATTACATGTTTGTATTTTAATTATTAATCATTGACAGATACTATACCTAGGTTACAGTTCTTTACATGGATACTTCATTTCATTACAATTTGAATTTATGACTATTATTACTGTACCTAATAGTCATGTTTTTATTTTTTTTATAGTCAATTTTAAGATTGATATGCAATAATCCTCCAATTTTCCCTGTTATTTGTTTTCCTCCTAGTTTTTTTATTTGAATTTTGGTTCATCATTATTTGTTGCATATCATATCAGTCAAGTAAAAATAAATATAATTTAGGTTTAAATTTCATTAAATTTTTATTTTAATTTTAATTATGTATTAAAAGAGTTCATAAACTACTTATGATATCTAGGTATTTGATACTTTGCTTGGTGCATACATTTTTACACACCCTATTATGCTTCCTATAATTTATCCAAGCATTCCACTATTAATTTATTGGTACATTTAAATAGTTTTTAATATTTTGTTTTCCAATATTTTAAATGATATATTTTTTTTACTAAATAATTTATTATCATTATTTTTTTGATATTTACTAGAACTCATTAAGAGACGTTCCATCAGCAAGAGGCATCCGAGATAGAGGAGCTTAATTTGTATTCTACATTAATCTTATTTCTTTATATTCAATTATATGTGTTACATTTTTTTTCATGTTATACACTGCACATTTCTTTTCGGATTATCATAATAGTGATTATTATATTAATAATTGTATGAATAACATTGTATTCCCACTTAACTCATAACAATTTATTTTTTTATATAATTTATTTTAATAGTTTATCTTAAAAAACTACATATATTTAACCATAACAGTTTTATGAAATGTTTATGTTACTGCATAGAATTCATAATAAGAACAATAATATGTTAAACTCATGTTCGCACTTATATGAATAAAAGTAATTAATTTTCAAACAAGTATAATTATTAATAGTTATATAGTATATTTTAAGACCTATATTACAATGTTGCAAAAGTTTTAAAAAAATGTAGTTAAATGATTACATTTTTTAGTGTAAATCTAGTTTAAAGAATGGCCCAAGTTCGATTTTCTAATTATTATTTTTTTTCTAAAATGTGTATTTTTAAAATGCTCAATGCATTGGTATAATCAAAACTTTCTTATCACACTTTTATAGTTTTTGAACGTTTAACTTGAAAAATCACATTTTTGGAATTAATCCAATATGTCATCTAAAATGGAAATTTTTATTATTATTATTTGTAGTGTTGGTGTTTTGATAACAAAGTTTTTTTTATTGAAGTCCAAATAAGTCTAGAATAAGTCTGGCCTAGTTTTAGAGTTATAGCTGTTTAAACAGCATGTGTTAATGGTGCAAACAGTTGTTGATTGTGACAACATAGTTTATTATTGGCTAAAGACACAAATTATGATCATTCACAGTAATCCCGAGCTAAATACCTACTTATTTATATCAATGGCATTAATGATGCATTTGATTTTACCTTGTGTCCTATCCAATGTAGTTTTGAACAGCTAATCGATTATTTTCGATTAAAATTGTCTGAGAAATAAATATCAAAATATAATTTTTAAATGACATATTACACATATTTTTAAAAATAATTTGTGGATACATATAAATAGACCATGTTTATATTTAGACATTACTTCACATATCTCTGAATGAACTGTTGGTATCCACTTACCTCGCCTACAATTCTGTACTCATTTGGCCCTTCTGTTTTTTTTTTTGTGGAAAACTGAACAATTTTACTTTGTTTTTCTGGGAATTACTGGTTTAGTACATACTCATGATTAATAATAATGAAAATTATGAAATATAATTTACAGTATTTACACATTTCATACAAATGCATTGTCATTTATAGTATAATTATTATTTATTAAATTTCATTATCTATACATAATTTTAGACAAAATCAAATTAGTTTTTAATGACACTGAAGAGAGTGAAAGTATGTGTTGCCTGACTGAACACTGAACAGATTTGTGGGTACCACTAAAAATTAGTGATCACAAATTATTTACATTTATAAATTTGGGTTCATAGGAGATTAAATTATTATATTAGGTATATAATATTATGTGGATGATGAACACGTATTCAAAATTACAAGGAAATATCTTTAATTGTAATACATACACCACACATATCATAGTAAAACCAATAAATCTCGAGTATAATACTTACAAAATACTAATGCATACCTACTACATAGAAAGTTAATTTAGGTACTTATATAATTATCTACTTATTTAATGAAATCCATTAATTACTATTTCTAATAATATTTTTGAACAATTTCCTTGATTTCTATAACTTATAGTTTTATTAATTTTTATAGACTTTAGTTTTCTCACTCACTACGATATTTGCTATAGTCAATGCTATTTCTGGTGTACCTATAGTTTTTACCAACATATTGTTAATCTCTCTAAAATTTATATTTTCACCAGATATCAATTTTACATTGTCCTTTAGACTAGCCATATCTATTGAATTCACACTACTGTCTGAGTCTATCGTACTTGCAAACAGTTGTATACATAATTTTCCTGATAAACCATTATCATTATCAATCAAATTTGAACGAATTGTCCCATGCACATAGAAGTCAAAACGATAAATGTTTCCTAACCTCAAACGTTCATAATAACAGCGACGTACCAGACTGTAAAAAGGATAAGGATAGAGAGCCGAATGGAATTAAAATGGCGGATTATTATCATTCATTTACATTTAGATAAGAAAGTACACAATTACTTTGATAGCGACTTAATCATATTTTTATCACATGTATATTATTTTACATTATAGTTATATTTTGTTATTTTATTTTATGGTCTCTTGATATTATGTTATAATAATGTAATATATATATATTATACAAATATAAAATACAAATTCAGTTAAACTCATTAACAAAAAATATACAAACCTTGCTTCACTTGGATTCTAAAATCAACTGTCAAGTTAATAGTACTGTATAATAAAAACAAATAATACATTTATGATTTAATCGGTTCGATTCAGTATTTAAATAAAAAATATAGGTACATGTTTAATAAAACAAATATACATGTAAATGTCATAAAGTGTGCTTTGTATATGTAACTAACAAGAGTAATTATTATTTTAATTTGGATTTTTCACTAACTTTTTTTATAATCATATTATCTTAACTATAGAGAATCTGTTTTTCAATTATTTGTTTTAAATATATGTATATTGCCGATTTAAGAACGAAGGTGAAGTCAGAGTTAAGCGGACAAATTAAGTTTCCAAATTACAGCTTTTTGAAGTTTTGATATTATGTGGATATTATATGCTATAATAAATAACTTTATATTATTTTTACTATATGTTTGTCATAGATATCTACTATAATCCTATGGGTCGTGGGTTTTAAACCGGATTTCAAAAAAAATAGTTTGTATTTATTTTTTCTCCTTTACCTAAAGAGGGAAAAACAAATGCATGATACGTTTTATGTTTACTTTAGGTGTGCCTAAAGACCCAGCTATCGCTGGATTGAGCTATTTTTATCGAAAATACCCCTCGATTTGTTGTGCAAACTTTTCTACTTGCAATTTTGCTTCGATTTACAATGATAGCACTTTTTCTGAAAGGTAATCGGACTGTGGAGTTATTATAGGCATGTTATTTTTTGATTTTCCTACGAGTTTTCACAATAAATGGGAAAAACGGGAAAATAGGTATAATATTAAACAAATATTATTAAAGAAAATACATAACGCATATATAATTATTTTACCATAGTATAATGATATATATTGTTGACAAAGCAACATCCGCTTAGCAATGGTTAATCGTTGCGTACAGATATACATTCAATTTTCCCTCTTTATTCTACATTTAAAACTTTTCACCAACAACAGTTGCTGCACCCATCGTGCGAAGTATGTCCTTTTCACTATCGCTAGTGTTGCAGACAATGCAATTTCATATAAATAAGTCAAAGCAAAAAGAAGTAAAAATTTTTGATTAAACAACTCATTGAAAATAACTCATATTTTGCGAGATTCAATAAAACTTGTTATCGCAAAATTAAGATAATATGACATATTACGATCGATACTGCCACCGATGGTACAAAAAATATTATGTTACATAAAATAATATGTATATAATATATAACTCTCGTTTTCTATACAATTATTGGCAACCCACTGTTAGAATATCGTGACCCGCTTAGGGGTCGCAACCTCCAGGTTGCGCACCACTGACATAATATATTATTATTTATATTTTATGAACAAAATAAGTTGGAAAAAGCTACATATACCAAAAATTATAAATTGTAGTACTTATGATGAAATAGAAATTAAAAAATTGTGATATTGCAAATTTTTAATTTAAACATTTTATATTTTTACAGCAAAATAAACTTTTTTTTTTATATGTTTTGGCCACTAAACACTTGTAATTAAATTCCAAGAGTAGCGAAGGATCTATTGGGTTTACTATGATTTTTTTTCGTGTATATCTGTGTCCCATTCTATCTACCTATACTGCACTGCCAAAGGACCCCGAAGAAATATAAACAGGGCTAAAGTACAAAATTATACCTATTATTGATGACCAGTTGATATTTGTTTATATTTATAAGTTATTATACTGCAAGTATCTAAGTATTTTATATCAGCTTGGTAAATCCAGAACTAAATATCACATACCTACCTACAATATAAATATATAAAATATAATAATATAAATCGCAACCAATAAAATAGTAGAGGCAGAGTTTTTATTAACCTTAACAATAAATACATAAAAATATACACATATATAAAAATATAAAGATAAACAATAAAAATATTTGTTTTAATTGAAAGTTCAAAGTGATTTTATCAAAAAGAATCATTTTTATATTATTATAAATAAGAAATAGTTATTTCTAATTTCCTAAAAAATGTTAACTTGACATAAATTTGTTAATTTCCTATTTCAAGAAATTATTAGATTTATAATAACAGTTATTTACAGATTTCTCATAGGTAACAATATATTATTGTAATATGTATTTTCAATAAACAGAAAATTTGCTATTAATATTTCAATATTCCTTTCTAAGCTTAGAATCTAAAATTATAATTATTATTACATAAATTATTTTAAATATAATTTTAGAACAATGGAAATTAAAAATTCAGTGGCTCCATTTGATCTAAATGGCTAGAGATCTCTCGAGGGTGGTCAATAGCTAACTTCTAGTACAATTGATGCGTGTATAAAACATTATAATGAAACAATTATTTTGAAAACAAATAGTACAAAGGAATTTCAATTTATAAATATCAACGCATCTCTGAGTTCAATACAATATTAAGTAATCCGAATAATGTGACAGCGAGTGTCCATTGATCAAAAGTGACTTTAATGAAAGCATTATTTTTTTTTCCATTTAATGTTAGAAATATGCATTGGGTGTTATTTGTGTTCGAATTTTCAAAGAAAAAAATTAGTCGCTACGATCCTCTCTCTAGGTAAAAATGTACTAACAAATTATTTTAAAAATTGGCCTATGTTTTCAATCAAGAAATCTGCATGTTTTCAATGAACGAAATAAATCTTTCAATATAGTTCATAGGAGTATATTGCAATAAGTAGAAAATACCCAAAAACAGATAATAATCGAAGTCTGCGAAAACAGACGAAAACAACTGTTTTATGTATAATTTATGTCACCATAATCTTATATTATAATGTAAAATAAAATAATAATAATAAAATCTAACAATAGCAAAGCATTGTCAGGACAGTTAGTGATAATATAAATTCACGAAAGTTTTAATCATTTTAAACAATTTAATATAAATATTATTATGTTTAGAGTAGCTAAATTGTCGTATTGTTTATGGTTATGCTTGAATAATTTTGTACATATGATTATTGTATTTTAAATTTGTTTACTTTTCATATCAGAATTAAGTTCAACCTCAAGAAGAAATACTTTATAAGATTTTTTATCATTGAATATCTCTCAAATAGAAACTATTAGTGCGGGATATGCAGTTGAATTATTGGTAATATCAAACATGCATTTTATTCTGCAATAATTATTAATAATTGTACATATTTTGTTTATGATTTCAGGTAGAAAAACATGGTACATTTCGAATTAGGTAAGTGGAATACTGTATTTTTGCTGCAAGTTTGATTCTTATATTACCAGATACTTTAGAAGATATGAAGAACACCGAGTTGATATAAGTGTGTCCCATTAATTCATTTTTCTTTTATTAAAGTTTTAAGTATCTAATAATGGTTAGTGGGAAACATTTATTAAAATTGTCCAAACAGTATTTTTTACTATCTATTATTGTTTAATTTAAAACATAATTTCTCTTGTTCTGTTCTTATTAATTACCAAAAACTATATTACATTTATTAATTATATACTTATTTATTCAAATTATATAAATTTTAATATGTTTATGACTAACATAACTCATACAGGCATACATAGATAATGAAAATACAATACCTATTTGTATTATGATGTTTGATGAAAATATAATATAAATTTTATTATTACTTTACATATTTTTGTGATTAGTTAAACATATTTATTTTTAATTGATTAAAAATGTATAAACATATATTACATTTTTATTGGTCCTTTAAGTGTAAATTGTAATAGAGACAATACATTCAGCGATGATAAATCAACCAGAAGCGACTAGAAAAAAACAAAAAATATTTTCCCTTTTTATAATATAACAACAATAATAGACACGCACATTATTCAATTTAATATAACCAAAATAATACTCACCTCAATATTTGGTAAAGTGTTTACTTGAAGTAAATTGTCTTTTCTGAAACTTAAAATAGCAACAGCCAAAAGTGGTAATACCTCTAAAGAATCGTAAGCTAGAATCATATCCCACAGGTTGAGCAATTGTTCCGGGAGTAAAAATCCACTGAAACCTTTTATGAGCCATTTGAAAACCACCCTGATGCTATAATAGCACGAGGTAATTATTTTTTAAATTTATATAATATAATGTATATGTACACTTGTATGATATTTACGGGTGAATATTGTTGCTCATGAAATGTGACCATATTTTGGTCTCGTGTCTCTGCAAAAGTCTTTGAAACAAAATGCATAATCCTAGTATACCTTGTGGATGCGAACTTATTTTATGTAATCTGAACCAGTATCGTTGGTAGAATGCTCTGAACGTGAAGTATAAAGGAACAGGGTCGTTGAATAAGTAACAAACTGGAGCAGCTATAAAAAATATTTTATTTTTAATTAATAATATGACGAGTTTGTGTGAAATTTTATACACCTATATTGATTGATGGAAGGTGTAAAATTACATGTGGGTTTTTATTTGGAAAATAGATATACCTACATATTTGCAGTAAGTAATATTATATAAATTAATTATATTAATTGAAGATTTAAATTATATTTCAATTTCTTCAATTGAAAAATTAGATTTGTTCTGCATAATTTTTTACTCAAACAATTTTTATCAAAGTTCGATATTATAAAAAAAACTACATTTAACTCAATTTTTTTTTTTTTTTTAACTACAAAATAAGACTTTTAATGAAACTCCTGTTAAATTTTGAAGAATTTCTGTTCAAGTCTAACAATTTTACCACAGAGTACCTACTGACTACAAATTACGTATAAAACTCTCAAAATTAAAATATCTATAAATAACTCGAAAATGGCTGTAATTTTTAAAAATTTTATCACGTTCAGAAAAATATAAGTTTTCTTTTTAAATTTCAAGTTTCTACGAATATTTCTAACTGAATTACAGTAAATAAAAAAATAAAAAAATAATATTAGCATTATTTTCATAAACTTTCCGTTTTTCTTACATTTTTCCCCATTTTTTCTCTTTTATTGGGAAAACTGCTGGGAAAATCAAAAAATAACTACTCTAAAGTACCACATCAAGAAAATTTCCTTTCAGAAAAGGGTTTGCATCGTATACATCAGAGCAAAATTTCTGATAGAATTTTTGTATACAGTATAAAAAAATAAATCTTTCTTAAAATAAATCTAATCTTTGTAAAACCAATAAATTCTTCGCTACACTCAGAATCAAAAAAAAATATTTATATATTAACAGTGTAATTTGTTCCTAACTGTCTACTTCTAAAATATCTATGTATATACCAATAACCAATAACTAATAAGTAAATTTTGTAAATTTGTCTATATAGCTATCAACAAAAAAAAATACAGTTCATCCCCCCCTCATAGGAAAAAGCTGAGCACGCCACTGATTGTGCCTTAGTAAGGAATAGAATTCAGTTCACTAATTTGAGATTCTAATAATGCTAATGGTTTTATTCAGCTTGAAAGAATCCAACATAAATTCTTAAGATATGCAAGTTGTATTTTAGGCATTCAATGTCTTCATGACGACCTTACTGTCTTTTGTCACTTTTTTGAATGGTTTATTATTAAATACCATAGACTTTCTCGTTCTCTTATCTCTTAGAAATTGTTAAGTTTTACAATTTTTTACTTTACACCAATATCCACTTTCAAATTTCCCAATTTAAATACAAACTAATGAGATTATTAATATCTAGCGTCAATGAAGATCCTTTCTTTCTTGTTTAATTATCATTCCTGTAATTTCATTTACTATATAATCGTATTTTATTGCCATTATTAATTATTATTATTATTATTTCTATATTCTAAATGTATTTACCTATTGTATTTAAAGGATACAGTTCGTTAATTATTAACAAATAAAATAAATAAATAATTAATGTAGTTAATGTAATTATTTTAGCTAAAAAAATAATTTTCAGTAGTAAAAATATGTTTGTACAAAACAGACACAATTACTTTTTTCAATTGGGTGTCCAATAGGCAGTAAGGTTTTTTTAAGAGGGGGGGGGGGGTTAAAGGGTCAATTGATCAACCGTTCAATCGAATACTAGATCGTTGGCTCTCGAAATTAAACATACTATGTATCATTTTAATTACTCTGTACAGGTCCATATATCAGTGCCATATCACTGTATTAATAATATTATGATATTTCATGACTTGTTTATGTTATATAGTGTGTATTATGTTTTATTTGAATATAATAATAATATAAAATACGAGTATAAAATTAAATAAATTTATATGAATTATTGTATAAAATACTCGTAAATGTTACCAGCAAATTGTGCTTTTATATTTTATGAATGTTTTATTTTGTTATGGATAGATTTGTACAGATATTCTTAATTATCGTTTATAGGATGAAAAAAGCTCTCTACATCATATTAAAAATGAGAATATTATTCAATTTAGGTACCTAGGCATTTAATAAATCAATAACTAGTATAGATTATATTTTTTTTCACAAAAAACAAGCAAAATTAATGTATAACTTAAAAAATTTAAAGTTAAGACTCAAGTTTGGGTGAGGGGAATAAAATTCTTTATAATTTCTCTATGTTCTATGCTATTGTGCTTACCGTACATTGTGAAACCGTGAAAAGGTATTATGCCATTTGAAGGATACGTCGTCTCCTTAAGTGGTTTACTTATCAACCACATTAAAATCGGACGGCTAGTCGAACTATTAAATACGGACAACACACCAGTGTCACGAGTAAAACACAACATTATCTAAACAAATATTTAGGTAGATGGGTAAAGTAAGTTTATTTCGATATTTAGACAAAATGAGAGAAAATAGACTGAGATGGTTTGGGCATATCACGAGGAGAAAGGGATCAGAAGCAGTAAGAATTGTAATGAGAATAAACATAAGAGGAAAGAGGGATAGAGGGAGAGAGGAAGAATGAAAAAGGTGTGGCTGGAGGCGAGAAAATATGTGAGTGTATGAGAGGATGATGTGATAGATCGGGTCAAGTAGACGTTTAGGATGAGGGTGGCCGATCCCAAATAGTTGTTTTGAAATTGAAGAAGGAGAAGAAGTAAGGTAAGTTTATGTAATAATTATAGTGTTCATTAAATGACACATTATTTTGATACAAATTGTTTTCAAATATTACCTGATACAAGACGTCTTCGAACACAAAGTACTGGTCGTCATTGCATGCTGTCAGTTGAACATCCTTCGTGATCAATTTGTCTATCAAAATATCATAATGTAATACACGTTGTTTGAGTTCCAAGTAATCATATTCCTACAATAAATATAATAAATTACTACACAAGTTAATAACTTTTTTGTTCCTGTTCATTGAATCACTTAATAGAGACTAAAAAATAGTACCTAAACAATTTTAATTTACCGACGACTTCGCATTAGATCCAAGTATTTGTGACCAGAGTCTACCCCGGAGACTGCGCGGTGCACCCAATTTTAAAAACTCTCGACATAATGGTGAATCTTGATGTGCTAAAACTAAAAACTTATATACTTTTAACTAAATCTTATAATTTATTATAATAATTATACAAATTATAATTTTTATTTTACCTTCTTCTCCTCTAATAATTCTGTCTTGTTCTCCTTGTGACAGTGAACTACCTGCCCCCGTTGTTAATGTTGATAAACCTAATAGCAAATCAGCTGTGGCCAAATCTTTGTAATGGTATCTCTAAAATCAAAAAATAAAATTATTATGCGTGTATAATTGTAACTAGTGTCTTCTTTAACAGTGACATATCCTTCCTTGGAGAATATTTTAGATAGGTCACAGTTTGTTAAAATATAATATTATTTTTAAAAACTTACTAGTTCTGAAAGGGTTTTAACTTTGAGCGGTAAGTATGTAAAGTCCCAAATCATATCGTCTCTAAATATATGATTTAATTAGTATTTTTACATTTGTCGATAAATATAAGGTGTAATGTGGGAGTATTTAGAATAGAAATAACCAGCATTTTTTTTTTTTATAAAATCCCAGTAAATGAATATATTTAGATGATTTTTGCAATTGATTTTAACTTCAAATTAGAAAGAGAAATCTAATTGGAAAATTTAAAAAATAATATATTGTATGGGTATATAGTAATTCACAGTATTATAAATTAGTAATTACTAACATATAATAATTTTGTTATTTTTATAGTAATTAACTGGTATTTTTCATAAGTTTGTTAGCATAATTTTTTAATTTCTCTAAAGTAGTGAAAAAATATATTATAATAATAGAATGTTCATAAATATTTTTTTGTTATCAAATCATTTTTTTCTTCTGGGAAAATGTATGCAAAGGTATTGTATATATAAATTGCCTACATGTACTCACGATATCATCCGATAGTTAGGATTATGCAACGAAAATAGTACTTCTAAAAAATCTTTTGGTGCATACACTGGTCTCAATCTTTCTAAACCTTAAAAATAAAATGATATGCATAAACATTACCTATGCAGATTATAAAAATAAAAAATAAAAATACGGACATATTTCGCACGATTGGTGGGCCACTGTTGAAGATGGAAATTTGGGAAGGTAGGATATAAAGGAAAATATAATATATATCTGTACGCAACGTTTAATCATTACAAACAAAAAACTATTTTGAGCGGAGATCGGTTATACATGTTTTGAAAGGCTGTAATATTTATGATTTTCGTCAAAATTTGATATTAAAATTCTATATTACACAAAATTTTTTTTTTTTGGTGAACACTAAGTACGACTTATAATGAATTTCCTGTTAAATTTTCAAACATTTCTGTTAGGTCTAACAGTTTTATCCACAGAGTACCTACCTACCGAATAAAAATAACGTGAAAAACTCGCAAGATTAAAACGTCTATAAATGAGAAAAAATTTAGTCTAGGTTAAAAAATATTGAGAGATTAAAAATAAGGTTGTCATTGGCAATCGTATTTATTTATTTTTTATTATTATTATAAGTTTTTATCATTTTAATATTTTTTAAACAATTATTGTTATCATAAAAACGTATATTGTTATAATCATTTTACCATAATATGATATATACTATATATTTTATTGTTGGCAAAGCAACACTATCAACTGAACTCTGCTCAGAATCGTCTTTTTCGTAAGCAATGGTTTATGGTTGCATACACATCGCTGCTTCCTAACTTTCCACCTACAACAGTAGCTGCACCCACGTGCGAAGTATGTCTGTCCTTTCTTTTATTGTTTTTTTAAATTAGCACACATTAAAAATAATAAAATATTTTACTTGTATTATATGTACTGAGTTCGTTCCATTTTTGTAACATTTCTTCTTGATCTCCTCTCGATCTATAACAAGATGAATTTATACCTATTTCTTTACATAAAGATTCCAATGATTTTTGTATCCTTTTTTCCCACGTTATCTGTGTTTAAAGAAACAATAGGTAGTTATAAAATTGTATTATTTCATAATAATATTGTACGTAAACATAATATTATGTACATTACTTGGGCTTTCTTCAAATAATCTAACGATTCTCTACTTGTAATTTCATCCCTAATCACCGACTGTTGATTGTTTTCATGATTTCTTAACCAATGAAATATAGCGTTTCGGAGATTTGTTTCCATATTACCTTTATTCACAGCTTGAACTAAATTGTTTTTAAACTCGTATAAGGATACGTCATGAGATGCAGCTAACACCTAATGCATAAAATGTAAAACAAATATATTATTAGGTAAATAGTTGAAATAAAATAACAGCATTGTTTATATACAGACACTACTTATTTTATGCCTATATTTTAACTACGACTGTGATTTTTGAGTAAGCATATTACCATATTATGACCTATTCAGTTATTAACATGTATTTTAGAAAAAGAGTACTATTTAACTCCTAAGAGTTAGTGGAATTGATCACAAATTAATTATTTTATGTAAAAAAAAGTGTTAATCAGATATAGGGGAAGAGGAAGATCAAAAAAAGAAGTATTTAAATGCGATTGAGAATGAAATAAGGGACAAGGACAGTCTTGTATGCAAGGATGATGTGAGGGATAGGGTAAAATGGAAGTTTAAGATACAGGTGACAGACTCAAAATAGTTGGGTTGAAGATGAAGGATAATAGGAAGAAAAATACAACTAAATGGTGAAAAATGTAATATTATAATGAATAATGAGAATTTTTAGTTCTATAATATATACAATATTTTTTAATGTATAACTGAATAAATAGAATAATAATATTATTTATTAGTTTTGGTTTTACTATGATAATGTAAAATTTTAGACTCTGAGCGTTTTACAATAATATTAACAATTTGTGAATAGGTACCAGTTTAGTGAATTTGTACCAGTAATCTTGCTTCGAGTGTAGAACCTTTCTCGAAAGGAAATTTTATTTAAGTAGTACAAATTTTTTGATTTTCCAAGCAGTTTTCATAATCGTTGGAAAAAACGGGGACATGTACGTACACGTATAAAAGAAACTGCGTTCCGAATTGTTTTTTGTTAGCAATGGTTTATCGTTAAGCAATAAGAACAGATGTAAATTAAATTTCCTTCTATATCCTACCTATCCAGCGTCTCACCTTTAACAGTGGCCCAACTATCATACAAAGACGTGAAGTATGTCCGTATTTTTTTATTTGATTTTTTAAATTATTTATTTTTGAAAAAAATATTGGGTATTAGCCTATACAAGGCTGATAATTTTATTCTAAAATAAAAATTGAATTTGTTAAAAAAGAAAAAGCGCATTCATTACTCAGGTATCTACAAAATATTACTTTCATACATGAAATAATTTTTAAATTATCTATGTATTAAGGTAGATAGATATACGATTATAAAATACTTGTGTACTATACCTGAAAATCTTCATAAAATCTATTAAAGTTATCCATGTTATGTAGTTCTTCTGCTAATTTGTCTGCAGTTAAATGCAAACTGTTGTCTTTTAACTCCTCCATAGTTGAGATTTGCAGTTTTTATATATAGAAGTATGTGTAAAGAAATTTGGTTCAAGTTTATAAAACAAAATTCCAAATATTATTGATGCAATAAAACAACGTAACATTGGTAACTAAAATTAAATATTAGCTCATTTCTAAACTATTGTGATATTTTTGTTCATTCTTGTAAAGTATTTAAATTTTTTTTTTAACTTCTGAACACACCTAAGATTACGAATATATTGGTTTCACCATGACGTATAGGATTTTAGATTCCGAGCGTAACGAGGGAGCTATTGGTTTACTAAGATGTTTTTTTCTAGTCTGTGGACACGTTTTTTCTTAGTAAACTAGCTCCGATTTTCTCGTGTAGCACCTTTTCTGAAAGCTCAAGTTGTCTAAATGGTACTTTATAATTTAAGATAATTTTTTGATTTTCGACACCACTTTTTAAATAAAAGCACTTAAGTGGGTAAAACGTAGGAAAACGTACAATTTCACGGTTTCATTATTTTATAAAAACACGAAAGAGGTTTTCTACCAGAAAAAGTAATTTAATCGAAAAAATTTTGAATCACTTTTGAGTTTTTAAGGAATTTAAATATTTTGGAGTTTTTTGCTGTAATTCAGTTATAAATACATGTAGAGATTTAAAACTTGGTTATAATAATTATATTGGACGTACCTAGACGTGGTAAAATTTCCAAAATTATCGGAAGATATTTTTCTTTTTTAAATTTTTTTACAATAGTACTTTTCTTTTTTTTTTTTTACTGTAGACCACTTTTATCTTGCTGAAAACTTGCTTCGATATATAAGTGTAGCACCTTTTCTGAAATTCAATTTTATCTACTTGGTAAATAAATAGGCCATTTTTGGATTTTTGAAACGGTATTTAAAATAAAAAGGACTAACCGGAAAAAATACGATTTTTTCACGATTTCGTTATTTTAAATTAGTACCTATCATGTTTTCTAGCACAAATATGAAATCTTACATTATGTCTATCCTCGGCAATGTTCAACTACCCGAAACTAGTACTAAAAAAAATTTGTTTGAATTCCGAAGATCTTATCGTATCTTATAACTGACTAACTCAATTACAGGTTCTGGAGATATAAGCTATGTAAATCCAACTATATTGTCTATATTTGTAAATTTGGAGAACACATCATTAAAAGATTTATTGATAATTAATGTAGCACAGTTATCTACTTTATCTTGGGGATTTGGATAAAGTTCATCTATAGTTTTTGTGGTAACACGATTAGGAATAATTTTTTATTGACCAGCTACAACTTGCATAGAAAGTTATAATGAAACGTATTATGATATTAATAACTGCAATTTAGCTTTAGCTACAAATTAATTTAATTATAAGTTATAGTTTATAACTCACACTTGTGACACACTCATTTCTGTACATAAAAATCAATAATTATGTTGCCATAAGATGACGTCATACTTATTCTCTAATATAATCGCACAATCGAACTTTGCATAAATTATATTGATATTACCGGAAAAGTAAACATGTAAAAGTATAAAAGACGTCCTAGGATAATGGGGACCAGTGCAGCCACTGTTATAGGTAATTTAATGTATACTTGTAAGTAACGATAAGCCATTGCTAACGAAAAAAGGATTCTGAGCGGAGTTCAGTTGATAGTGATGCTTTGTCAACAATATGTATTAGTAAAATAATTAAATAGACTTTTATATTTTCTTTGATAATATCTGTTTAATGTTGTACCGATATTCCTGTTTTTCCTATTTGTTGACAAAAATTCCAGAAAAAATTAAAAAATTACCTCCCAAATTACCTTCTTAATTAGATTTCCTTTCAGAAAAAGTTTTATCATTGTAAATCGGTGCAAAATTGCTGGTAGAAAGTTTATTCACAAGAAAAAAGAAGGCCGTAATATTTTTTAACTAATACCAGCAGTAAGTTTTCTCGTTTTTCCTGATTTTCCCCATTTGTTGAAAAAACTCATGGGGAAATAAAAAAATCACCTCTTTAAAATAAATCCTCACACTGATTTTCTTTCAAAACAGGTGTTACACTTAAAAATCGGAGCAAGATCTCTGGTAAAAAAAGTTATCCACAAAAAAAAAAAAGGTCCACTCAGAATCTAAAAATATATGAGTATATACTACAAATATACTACTACCGAAGTTAACACATGTATAAAAGAAAATGTATTTATTGCTTTTAACAAGTTTTCATCATCAAATTTAGCTTCAGCAAATAATGCTTTTCGATTTAATAAACTAAAAACTTTAATAACATCAGAAAATTGTAAGTTTAATGCCCTGAAATTTCGGGTTTGAAGACCACCTTGTAGTACTGTAACCCTTTAAAGATAAATTAAGGTTTTCCATTAAAATATCCCATGTTTGGATAGAACTAGAAAAAAAAATTAAATAATTTCTGTGTGATTTCAAAAATCGTTTCTACGAATGAATAAAAACTGTGAATACGTATATATATATATCCACTTAGTATTTGGTAATTTAGCGCCCCCCAACCAAGACTTCCGGGGCAAGTTTAATAAAAATAAAACGTTTTTGTATTATTTTAAAAAATAAACTATAATTTCTCATTAATATTATTTAATCCAACAATATAAAAACATAAGTTCCACAGTTTTTTACCCTTGAAAGTATTATCTTATTATGTCTACATTTTGTAGAATTGTACGATAACTATGAATATTTATGTTCAAAATATAAATTAGTATTATTTATTTAATTTATTATAACAGACCAATATTATAATAAACGTTAAAAATATGCCATTTTAAATTTAAATTTTGAAAAAGATGTTCTATGAGTACAGATTAAATAGGTTAGGTATTTAAGTGTAATGAATTTGCGTTTAATAATTTATTAAAAAAAAAAGTGCTTGTTTTTCAGAATTTATCGAAAATTAGAGCTTTCTACAATTCCAGGACAGTAGGACTTTACTGACCCAGTCCGCCCTTGGTTTAGACTGTGTATTGTAATAGTATGGTAAGTATATTATGAAGCGTTTCGTGGAAAAGTTTTCGAATGGAGAAACTTCGGCTTCTGCGTTTTTTCCTATGGACACTGTGCTGATGGATTTTACACACTTTATTTTAGTTTCTTCTCATTTTTAACGATACCCGGCTGTGAGAACGGAGAAGAATTAAGGAGGAAAAAATATATTGTAGGAATTACGAGTATATAGGTATACATACCGGTACTAACTTGTAATAGTATATAATAATAATAATAATAACACGAGTAATATTATCATCATTATAATCACTGAACCGTACTGTGGCGGTACACTGATGTAACAGTCCAACCCGACCGTTCTAAAACCGTTATACAGTCGATAATGGTGGGTACCTACTCGATGAAAATTTCGAGATCTACGGGGTTTTCAATTAAATTTTGTTCAATGAACCGTAGACGTTATTATGATTATTACTTTTTTTTAGGTATTCTGAATAAATTCCGTCACGTCACCTTTTATAAAAAAAATATAATAAGTACAATATCGGGTTAGTCGTATTAGGTATAATATAGTTACGCGTTCAATAACAACAGATCATCGCTCGAGGTGCCTAAAATGATAAAAATAAACTTGTAATATAAAGTTCTACGCGTCTCGTTATGTTCAAGCATTCTATCAAGAGAAATCTGTAAAAAAAAAAAAAAAAAAACCATCGTAAAAATTAGAAAATTTCGCCCAGCGTAAAATATTGTTGACGTCTGTAAAGAAATTGCCGAAGCTGAGATCCCGGAATCTTTCGGGATCCCGTCCGTTCTTATGATATTAATATAGATTTTTCATAGAACTCCTTTACTAATACAGTAATACAGTTCTTAGTTTTCTATAAATTATAATTGTATTATGAAATAATAAAATACTAAAATAATATTAATTGGTACAAATCCTGAGTATTATAAATGTATTATTTTCTGAATGAAAATAAAAATTGAATAAAAAACAAAGGGAACAGATAAAAATTAAGGTTATCATACATTTCTTTTCACAATTTTCTAAAATCTATTCTCGCCGATAGAACAGCCTAAAAAACAGCCTGAAACACTCAACCAGGTAATTGATAAATATAGGCTATAGCATAAATAATATTCATGAACAAGACTTTCGTTGAAGAAAGGAATAAGTAATACTTAAATATAGTATTTTAAAAATATAGGTACTGATTACTGACCATGCCATAAGAATTACTTTGAATAATGATAACTGTTAAAATGTTTCAGAAACTACTTACTTTTGTTATAACATATTAGATTTTAAGTGAGTATAGCAAAAAGGCTATTGGTTTAACTGAGATGTGTTTTCTTTTTCTTGGAAAATGCTTTTTGGGTAAGTCAAAATGCTTAGATTTATTCCTATTTTATCTTTTATGATGCGGATTTTCAGCACAGAAGCACTTTGTTTTAGTGGCGTAAAATTATGGCGGGGGGGACATGGAGGATAGACTCCCTATGTGAGCAGTATTTATATAGAATATTGTTATTTAATACATGTTGGAGGTTCAAATGTAAATTTTCAAAACTATACTATGAAATTAAAAAATTATAAATGTTCAATTGCATTCGTAGGTACCAAAATGTTCACAGTTTATTATCATACTAGATAAGAAATATTCATAATAGTTTATGTCAAAATAAACGGTAAATTTAATTTTAAACTACACATACTGCGTGTTCAAATGTGATTAAGGCGTTGCGATTTTAAAAACACAGACGTCCCATTTAATAGAAAATTCCAGTAAATATAGATATTGACTTGATTATTAAAAAATTAACTAAAAGACAAGTAAATCGAGCAATCCAAGTTCTGTTACTGTTATTTTGCAAATTTACCAGTGTGAATGGTGTGCAGTGCTGTACCATATAGTATGATTTTGATTCTTGAGTTTATAGTCTGTGTCGGTTTACACCGAATAAGATAGAAATTTGGGATGTAGATCGGTTTACACAACTTTTCTAATTCATTTTCTTATCGTGTAGTTAAT